TTAACAGTTGTCAGACAGACGGTCAGCCGTCTTAATACTGTTCAAATGACTCGCAATGTCCCCAAGTGTCTCGGGCTATTATTGTGCGCTCAACACTCGCACCGGCTGTAGCGATCGTTCTGCTCTCGGAATGGACTTGTACTATCTCAATCCGTCTCTCTTTCCCTCGGCATGCACTTATAAATTACATGTCAGAGACTCTGCTCATTTGCTCACTAGTGTGCGAGCACGCACGGATGCGCGGACATTGGCTCCGATACGCCGGCATCTTGGCAACCATTATTCTTCGACAATATTGAGACTACGCTTGCATGGTGAGTATGATTACTTTGAGCAGTTCGCTCGATGGTCAACTTGAGCGATACTGGAGCATGCGTGGCGCAAGTCTAGCCTTTCATAGCCAAGTGTAGATCTTCGAAAGACAATGCTCTGATTGTATCCCCGCCTAGAATGTATAGAAGTCTCCATCAGGCTTGATGCACAGTATACAACTCACCAAGAATGCTGCGCAAAATGTGCCTCCCTTCATTATTCTTCAGGAACTCCTTCGCTGATGGTTAGTCCAATTTCGATGATTCGTGCGTAGACGTCTTATAGCCTCCAATAAGGTTCATCGACCGCAACAAAATTTCGCAGTCTCCGCTAGCGGCCGTGATGCGCAGTATTTTCAAGTCTGCGCCCACGTGTTCTGAATGCCAGCGCAGCCCTAGTCACCGACTTGCGCAAAGTATCCGGACGGGCCGCGCGGCGTTGACTGTGCGGCATATAATGAGGATGTTTGACATTATCGGTAATCTGTATCCGCAACAACACATTGCGTACTAATTCAGTGATACGCCAATCGACATTCACCTCTCACGGTCCGTCATGATATCTCAAATTGCGACTATGCCTCTCCGCCCACTCGTGGTGAGCGCGTGTGCTGAGATGATGTAGCTCGGCGCCAGCAACGATTCGGCCCTCTGCTTCCCTGGAAGTCGGGCGTCTCCGGCCAGATGGCGCCTGAGAGATGCGAGGCACTACAACACGGCTCTTCCAGAGGTCGACAGTATTCGAAGTGCCAGAAGCCCCTCATAAACTGAAAAGCATGCGGGGCACTGGCCGACGTCTAGATGATACTGGACAATAGGTTGGCATGAAGTTTGAACTGGCAAGAATCGGAACGTGCTTTTGTTGCTGCAGGTCGATTTTACATCCCTTTCGTTTCCTCTAAATTTGCACAGCTCGTTATTCGATCTATGCACTGGTCACTCATATACTGCTGTTCTCACACATGTCGTCCGGTCTGGCACCAAGGTAGCCTCGTACGGAGAGGCGGCGTGTCAAGCGGGAGAACCGAGCAGGAGTCACCCCTAGATCATGCGAGGACTGCTCTCTCCCGGATTTCAGCGCCGCACGTCTTGACTCAGCGTCTCAAGACAGCTCTCAAACATGAAGTTCTCCGAGCCGAAGTCCACCAGTAGGACGATGAGCACGTCTATACCTGGCCTAGCTGGAGCCTAGAAGGTCTTACTCAGATGTGGAACATTTCTAGTTTCAGGAGGTGTGTACTGTTACTCGGTTCATATAATGCCGACGAAGATGCTCTAGATCTCCCGACCTCTGATATTGAACGTGTTGGAACAAACCGTCGCGCGAGGTGTTCCGGGGTGATGTAGTGAGCCCGCGTTGCAAACGCGCGCCGTACGTTGACGAGCACGAGGTATCTAAATACACAGAACGCCACTAATTAAGGTAACTCTAGCTACCAGGCACGGATGAACGCGAGCGCGTAAGCTTGCACCCGCCGTTCCCGCCGCGCTCAGTTCCGTCGCGCCGCCGTACCACCCGAATCGTCCGACTCCAATTCCAAGTTCCAACACACCCCCACAAGCTCAGCGCGAGCACATGTTCGAGCGAGAGAAAAGGTCCGCACCCCCATAATCACCAAGCTCCGGCTACGGGTCCAAAGGTCGTTGCGAGTATTGCCGAATGACCCCCCGCAGCCTCTGCCTCCTTCGTCTTCGCCTTCTCTGTCTCCCACTTCGCCTTCTCCGGGCACTCGGACTTGAAGTGGCCGAAATCATCGCAGAAATAGCACTGCACCTCTGACCGGTCGATAAGGCGCCCTTTCGGCATCTCCCCCCTTATAAGCGCCTTCGTAGTAGCTGCAGCAACGCCGGGGTCGCGGGAACGAGGGTGGGACTGAGGGGCACCCGATGACGACTGTCGGATTTCTTCATTGAGAAGACGTGAGATGACGTGTTCAAGTGTGAGCTGCTCGGTCGGAGTCGAGTCGAGCGCGATGATGACCGTGTCGTATGATGGTGGCAAGCCCATCGTAACCGCGAGAATCTGGTCCTGCTCGCTCACCACGATATCTGCCTCCCCCATCCGGAAGGCCATGCTCCTTATGTTGCCTATCCAGGCCTGCATCGTCTGATCCGACCGCTTCTTGGCTGTAAGAAAGTGTCGCTTCATCGCCAGCTGCGTCGCAAACCCGCGAGCCTTGTGGACCTCCGCGAGCGTCTGCCAGATCTCCCGTGGGTCGCGTGACCGCATGTGCGCCAGCTGACCATCTTCTGCACGCAGGATCATCTCTGCGCGCGCCTCCGCCATCTTCTGCACATCGCGTGCGTACAAAACCTTCTTTGTCTCCTCGTCTACCTTTTCCGGCTCGGTCTCCGTCGTAGCAACAGAGACTGTAATGATCCCGTCCCAGAGCTTCCGTCGGATGAGCTCGGCCTCCATCCGCATGGACCACTCCGCATAGTTGGAGTCATTAAGTCGCGGGAAGCCTCGTTCGTATGTGGTATCAGACATTGTACGAGTATAGAGTGGGGTATGTTGTCGTCAACAGGGGTTCTTCGATAGTTCTTCAATTTCTGCCAGATAAGACCCAAAAAGGGAATGTCGCGATGCGTCGAGAACAGAGGGCTATACAGCGCGTTTGTGTTGGAACAAACCGTCGCGCGAGGTGTTCCGGGGTGATGTAGTGAGCCCGCGTTGCAAACGCGCGCCGTACGTTGACGAGCACGAGGTATCTAAATACACAGAACGCCACTAATTAAGGTAACTCTAGCTACCAGGCACGGATGAACGCGAGCGCGTAAGCTTGCACCCGCCGTTCCCGCCGCGCTCAGTTCCGTCGCGCCGCCGTACCACCCGAATCGTCCGACTCCAATTCCAAGTTCCAACAGAACGATTCTCGGGAGCGCTGGTAGCAATGCCTCGTTGAGGCATCGCCTCTTATGTCCACATGTCTTAGCGACAGGGCTTAATTGAGCAGTTGTCTAATCTTGGGATGCATGATGGGTAGCCCGCAAATTCTAATTTTCAAACATTGTTTTTCGGCCACACACCTAGCCATAACAACGGGCTATGTTCTGTTCAAGGCGCTTGACACTCGGTATCGGCATGATGATGATGTTCTAGTGGCCTCTCGAAAAGCCCGATTCCCGGAGCGTTCGGCCTGTGCACTGGTGATGCGCGCAACATCGCCAAAAGAACAGGCGCTACTGTCTCCGGACCCGCGTTCGAACTCAAAGCACCACCCAGCAATAGCGCCGACTTTGACTATAGCACACAGCAACCAGACTATGGGATCTGAGACTTGATCTGGAGCTACTAGGTACGCTATAGGCATTGCCTCAGCTGGTCGTCGATCACCTGAACTTATTCATACTCGCTCTGCGAGGTGTAGGTGTAGTTTACGGAAAACAAGCGATAAGACGGCGCACCTGAGAATGTCTCTTATGCGACTGATGCTTGGTATATGTCTGGCGTTCATCGGTAAGGCAGGGTACAAGCACGTTTGAGGACGCATTCTGGCCGGATCTATCAACAGCTCACACTGGGCGGCGGGCATTCTCGTTTGGGTCGGACTCGAGTACTTCAGTCTGTGCGGCGCTGCACGAACCCTGCAGTTGAACTACACCAAATACATCACTCCGGACCTGCGCGACGTGTTTGGGATGTGGACTCTCGGCGCCCTTCGCCTCCGTAGCACGATATTCGTCTACGGCCGGCCGGTACTCCCAGTGGGTCGCCTGGCATGCACTCAACATGGCTTACTATAGCACGGAAAGACGAAGTAAAAGACGCGCACAGGATACGACATATAAATACATAGCTAGTGCTTTGCACGGGTCTACCCCCGGGTGCCAGCGCTATGACCCGTACCCGTACCCGCGGAGGGTATAGACCCGTGAGCACGGGTACGGGTACGCGAAGCGCTGGTCCGGGGTTGGCCAAGCGCCCTCTAGGACACTGCTGCGGTGTCAAAAATGGTACGGAGAGTATGCGGGAGCCCTGGTATGGCTCCCGCATGCTCGAATTCGTTCCCAAAGCGCTCTTTTGGGCGCTTTGGCCGTACCCGCAGGGTTCACGGGTACTAGCACAACGACCCGTACCCGTACCCTCACGGGTAAGGGTACCCAACCCGCGCGGGTTACCCTTACCCGTGCAAAGCACTATACATAGCGACGGGCTCGAAATACTCAACACAAGCAAGTTCTTAAATCTTCTACGTGATCCAACGTACACCACCAGTACTACTCACCAGCCATGATCTTTACCGCTGCGAAGGCTCTCTTCATTGCCGCTGTGTCTTCAGCTCTCTACATCAGTTCGACTGCTGCCTACACGGGCGAAAGTGAGCTTTCTCTTTTGTTTCTATCTATGTCTATCTACACTCTGTATAAGTCACGTACTACTACACCGGTGATGGTTACGGTGCCTGCGGCTCTCAGATCCATGACTATGAATATGTCGGTGCATGATGGCGCATCGCGCGTAAAGCGACAGCTCCCACATGTGGTCTGGTTCGTTGACATTGACACATATGAATCTATGATGTCGCTACAATGAACCCATTAACAGTTTTACTCAACGCTGGGTAAAAATTAGCAGAACAGATTATGCAACTGCATTGCGCTGCGACATGATGGATGGCAGGACCTTGACGGGTGCGCTTGTCTAAGGCATAGAATTCCCCCAAGAAGAATACTTATCCAAAATGCTTCCCATTAGCCGACTTGAACGACTGACCTCGTCATTACACGTATATATACGTACTAGTGACGCGCTCTACCAGCTGAGCTAAACGGGACTTGACGGTACTTCTCCAGAGCCTTACATTTTCCAGTTGGGAATATGTGTCGACGATGGTGACCTGCTCGCCAATTCGAACTTGCCGTTTGTCTCTCTTCCTTCTTAAACTCTGTAGGTCTTTCTCGATGCGGTGCTATTATCTCTGTCCCCTGCTGGCATGGGTACTTCTCTCAGCGCAGTGCGCTGTTTTAGTTGAACAAGCTGTGGATCAAGCTGAGCTTCTTCCATACCCCTCGTTTTCACAATACTCTCTTGGACAAAATGCGTCTGGTCTGCGCATTGCCTCTCAAAACCTATACGCCCCGCAAAAGAGCACAGAATCTGTGCAAGGAAGCCGTGTGCCAGGATCAACGAGCGTGAAGAACGTGAACTGCAAGCAGAGGTCCAAGTCTCACAAGAAGCGTATCCCAACTCCAGTCAACGCTGCCCCGACGCCCGCGCCTACAGGGCCATCGTCGTCTTCAACCACAGTTCACATCTCAGATATCCATGACTTCGCTTTGTTGCTCCCTGACCGACGTGGAGGTCAGTAATTCTTTCAAACCATCGCGAGATAGCGTTACGTACTGTTCCAACACCTTTCCATGCACCCCTCGCATTGCTTTGGTCAGAGTTGATCTCGGATGCGGAGAGCGACGGCGTTGCATATTGTACACCAGGAAGTTCGGATTCGAGCTGCACTCAGCATTTCCAAGAGGGGTTCATACGCGCTGCGTCCGTCACCAAATCCAGCGACGGCGCCTGGATTCAGGTCAGTCTTATATCGTCGCTGCGCGGCTGGGCGCGTCCCGACGGAGCTGAGGGCATCTCGACAGGTCACCGGCTGCCTGGATACGAGCAAGTCCGACCTCGATCCTTCGGATGACGGAGGCCAGTTCGACGTGCGATTCCCAAATGGCGCGCAATGCACGTTCGGCGGGTACGGTGCGAGTTTTATCGAACAGTGCGTCATCAGCCTCCTTGTCTCCTCTCGTTATCGTTACGTATGGTGCACTTGTGTAGAGTGGAACCCTCGGCAGGCCGCTTCTGTCTCCGATGCTGTGCGGCCGAGAACGACCAGACGCACTGTAACTCGCATCAAGACACCGCTGGCTGCCCTGTTGCTGTACCTGGAGAATACAGTTTCCCTGAACATGGTGTCGACTGCTCCTGATCTTCAAGACGCCGACTTCGCTACCACGTCTGTCTTGGCCTTCTGTGAAGCCCCCTGGATCAGCCTATGTCATGTTGCTGCTGGCGGTCTCATGTTTTTCTTCTTTCCGTCTCGGGCATTCATATTCTGTATTTGGTCATGTTGCATCTGTACATTTTGTATATATAATGCCGTATCCTCGCACAGCCTAGCGTGCAACACGCATGGATTTGTATCAATGACATACTCGCATATTCCGGCCGCTCGTTCCGACGCTGTACTAGCATGAATCATAAGATTACACTGCACCCGCAAACAAGAAGCATACGCATCTATGTACAAACTATCTGCCAGGCCGGGAATAAACAGACATGGTACTTGGATATATGCTACAGGACTATAGGGTGGGCGTGGTACGAGTCCGATGCACAACGTCCACGTCAGCGTTTATCGTTGCCGCAATGCGTGCAGGGTCATGATCGTGAATTCAAACGTAATTTGTAAATGGGATAGCAAGAAAACGAACGTGCGTCGAGAGCAAGAACAAGGATTGAGACGAGGACGGCCTGCGACTTCTAGACAAATCCAAACCATGCATGGTGCGGCGGCGGCGTTCCGACGTGAGGCGTGCCCCGCGCAGATGTGCGCAATACCACTACTTGAGGCTATACACGAGTCCAGGCCAAGCCTACGGGCGCGCGAAGACGAGCCTGCCGCTCCCCGTGCTCTTGTCGACTTCCACGCCAACGAGGCTCGTCTTATCGGCGAGCCAGTCGACCCGGCGCACGCCGCCCTCCCAGCCGCCGCCCATGCGCGTGCAGCGCGCCTCATACGCACGCGTCACGCGCGCCTGCGCGGCGCTCCCCGCGCCGAGCGCTTCCCACTCCTCGGGGGTGATGGGCGTTTGCAGCACGCCGTGCACTGCGTAGAGCACGTCGAGCACCGTGATCGCGCCCTCGCTGACCGCGCGGCCGCGCCGCGGCTCGGGGCCGATCGTGAAGCGTGCACGAGGTGTGTTGGGTGTATTCGGCGCGCTGGGCCCAGGGCCGACGACGACGGGCCAGGGGAGGCGGTCGGAGCGGAGGACGAGGCGCGCGGAGGAGGGGGTGGGCGGGTCTGTCGCGGGTTGCGCGAGGGTGTGCGCTGGAATCGCGGAATGGGTTGCACGGTCGAGTACCGTGCGAGCAGAGGGCGTGAGGAGGACGTCGTAGGTGATGGGCGCGTGGTGCAGCCGGCTGTGCGCAAGGACGGGGTGCATATGCAGCTTATTCGCAGGCGGCTGTGCGAAGGGGATGCCGTTGACGGAGCCGTCTGCATGGGAAAGTCAGGGATGCGGTAGAGTGGCAGAGAGGGACAAAGACGTACAGGAGGAAACGCTCGAAGAGCTACCTGGATGCCAAGTTTGGTTTGTCCGCAAGGGCGGGCGGTCGTAATGCGTCCGGTGTCCTGCATCGGAACGTGTTCCATACGCAACCGAGCTCATGCCGAACAGGGACGAACTCGAGTTCGAGCGCGAACTTGTCGTCGTGCTGTAGCCGTTGGATGGCGCGTACGTCGCACCAGCGTACTGGACTGGATGAAAACACTACGTCAGTGTCGCTTATAGCATCACGTGAATTGCGACGTACCGTGAGGGTGAGCTTCGTAGCTCTCTCTTCGCAGCGTCGCCGGACGGGCTGCTGCCGGCGACCTACCGTAGCCGTAAGCTGTCCGAGTGTCGACGGGTGCGGGAGTGCCGTAGCGAAGAGGGGATGGGGTCGCAGCGCGGGAGGCAGAGAAGCTGCTGCTGCGTTGGCGTTGAACGGGACGCGAGCTGGAAGTAGTTCCCGATGCGTGAGGCTTGGGTGTCGGTGCGGCAGACTGTGAACGCTTATGCGAGCTAGTGTTGCCGCTGGAATGACTTGTGGGGTGATTACTTGAACCCCCAAAGAGATTGCGGAAGTAGGAAGGCATCGTAACAGTATGGTATCGCGAGGAAGAGTGGTTGAGAGTGAAGAGGCGTGAGCACACCGAGCAGGGGACAACAGTCGCAGACTTAGAGTACACCAGTTGAGAGGGCCCGGACCTCAATCGCTGCGGTGAGGGTCTTGCACAGTAACCGGCTTATATACGACACCCGTAGAGAAGTGTCGGCTTTCGTATCGGTAGTCTAGGACGCCCACGTCGTCGCATCACCGTAATCTGGCTTCGGTCGGACCCGCGAAGGTGATGAGGGAGTGCCCCATTCACTAATTTTCGACATTCCATCACTCTGCGCCCGATGCGAGAGGTACAGCCGGTGTTCTGGGAACTAGAGCCTAAAACGCGTCCATGAGGCTGCGTGATGTCCGTAAGCGGGAAGTCACGTCTGCACGGCCAGAACGTGCAGGACAAGGGATAACCAGTGTTTTCGAGTATTTTTGAGGTAAAGGGATATGATAAGCGGTCGACAACGGCCAGTAGTCGACAGGTTATCATACACGTTGAGCTTCGAGACGCGGACGTCGCCACGAGGAGGAAGCATGCCCTTCCATCTGGGGGCTGGCGCGACAAGCGTAATTGCCTAATACAGAATTGCCGAGGCGGGTGCGGTGTTGCACGCGGGTATACTCCCCGTTGCAGAACGACGATCTCTGCAAGCCGTGCATCGTGCCCGGTGCATGAATCAGACAGCGACCTCGACGCGGGTTATCGAGCAACCGGCAGAGATAAGAAGCGCAGCCAGGGAATGCTGTGGAAGGGCATGGACAATGCCAGCAGTGCAGGCGTCCGCTGGATAAGCTTGTGGGATGGTTGTCGCGCGACGTCGACGGACTCGAGGTAAGAGAAGGTTGTCCGGGCGTTACAACTATCGGAAATCCCCTCGGAGTAAAACCTCGAGCTTCTTGCCGGTCGGATCGAGGCGAGGGCCTAGATCCAGAAGATCAAGCCCCTCGAATCGGGCATCACATCATACACGCTGAGATGTGGATTGTCCAGATCGCATTGTGCGTTACGACATGGCGGGTGAAAGGACATTCTGGGGGCGCCAGCGTTGACCCGGAATAGAGCACGAAGCGGCGTACAGTTCCATCCTGCGACGGGCTTTGGCACGAAAACGCGTGCCAGACATGGGCCGCACGATATCGAATTGTGTGTATCTTTGGGTCGATGTCGCGAACGCCAAAGTAATACGCGGCCCGGGTCTCTATTACGAACGCGGTGCATCGCTGGCGTCATGAAGCGCGTGTGTATGCTGATTGAGCAGAGGTCCTGAGCCGCTGCGACGAGTCTCAGCATAACTAGAGCGCCCACTGACGTGGGCTGAGATATGGCTAACCGAGCGCTGCCGCTAAAATTTTCTGTCAAAAAGATGAGAAGGTATTAGTTTCAGTACAGCATTCGACACGTATCAAGCACCACATTGCATATCGCTGGCTTCGCCGGGGGCTGGCCGCGAACCTTAGAAACACGCTGAGGCGTAGAAGACACGCCTGCCACGATACGACGATAGCAAAAGACTCACCCTGGACATCGTCACCGAGGTCGAACGTGCGGCAGACATATGGAGACAGCTCTCCGGAAATGAGTACTGCGCGGCAAACAGCTGCGTCCCTAGACTAATTCCCAGGAACGTCTATAGGAATGAATGTGAGACCGTCGTATCATGCCGCGGTAACTCCAATACGCTTCGGACGTAATGATACGTCGGCGCAAATGGCACACAGCTGTATTTGGTATCTTTGAGCTGGGGCCACCTGGGCTGCTTCCAGGAAAGCACGACATCAGAACACGTACATTTTGGGAGAAAATGCAAAACTTACTGATATATCAATCACCAATCATGTAGGGACCATGACAGACTGCATTGCTTCTGTCTGTCGCGTCGTATCTCCGTGAATGGCGAC